GGGCCTTCGGTGGAGCACCCTATGGGGCCACGAAACGTGTGAGGGGTGTGCTGGAATGGGCGTGGGTGACGCATGCGGGCTGTGGCATCGGTGCAGCTCCCTATGGGGCCACGAAAAGTGTGAGAGGTGTGCCGGAATCCCACCAGCCCTTAGGGCGTGAGTGGTTTAGCGAGCCCCCTCTGTCCTCAACCCCCCTTCTTCCCCTTCGGGGAGGGGTTTACCCCTCCCCCTACCCCCTCCCCCTGGGCCTGGACAGGGAGTCCCGAGTGTTCTCAGGGGGGTCTTTTTCGACTCCTGGGAGGGCTAAAAAAACGACGACCCTCACGAGGATTCTGCCCCCGACGGGGGGATTGAGAAAAAACCCTCTCCTCTTCTGTGAAGCCAAAATCATTGATTTTACTACGGTTTTGGCCCTATTTTGGCCTCCCGAGGGGGCCGCGCTCCTCTTCCTTGTTCTCAAAATCATTGATTTTACCAAGGTTTTGGGCTCATTTTGTTCTTCTCAGGGGGTGGCGCTCATTTGCGCTTCTGAGGAGGTCGCAAAAAGCCCCCAAGAGGCCCCAAGAGGCCCCCAGGAGCCTCCCAAGAGGCCTCCAAGAGGCCCCCAATAGGCCTCCAAGAGGCCCCCAGAGGCTCCCAACAGGCCCCCAAGAGGCCCCCAAGAGGCCCCCAGAGCCCCCAAGAGGCTCCCAAGAGGCCCCCAAGAGGCTCCCAGGAGCGCCCAAGAGGCCCGAAGAGGCCCCCAAGAGGCCCCCAAGAGGCCCCACGAGGAGCCCGAACGACTCACACCAGGACGAGGGGCCCGAACGACTCACACCACGAAGAGCCCCAACGACTCACACCACAAGGAGGAGCCCGAACGACTCACACCAGGACGAGGCGCCCGACCGACTCACCCCACGAGGAGCCCGAACGACTCACACCACGACGCGGGCCCCGAACGACTCACACCACGAGGAGCCCGAACGAGTCACACCAGGAGGAGGGGCCCGAACGACTCACACCAGGATGAGGGGCCCGAACAACTCACACCACGAGAAGCCCGAACGACTCACACCAGGACGAAGAGCCCGAACGACTCACACCACGAAGAGCTCACACCAGGAAGAAGGGCCCGAACGACTCACACCAGGACGAGAAACCCCAAACGACTCTCTCTTTCTCTCCCTCCTCCTCTCGTCTCTCCCTCCTCCTCCGCCTCGTCCTTCTCCACAAGGAGGATGTACAAGGAGGCGGGAGGAAGGAGAAACAGGGGAGATATGCGGGGCCAAACGGACACACGCCTGAAAAAACACGACTTTCGGCATGCTTCGCATGAGTTGCTGTTGTGAGATGGGCTGGTGGGGATACGCGAAGCGTAAAGAATTGGTGTACGTGACGCATGCGGGTGGTGGCACTGGGGCCTTCGGTGGAGCTCCCGGCGGGGCCACGAAACGTGTGAGGGGTGTGCCAAAATGAGTGTGCGTGGCGCATACGAACGGTGGCACTGGGGCCTTCGGTGGAGCTCCCTGCGGGGCCACGAAACGTGTGATGGGGTGTGCCGCCATGGATGTGCGTGACGCATGCGGGCGGTGACACTGGGGCCTTCGGTGGAGCTCCCTGCGGGGCCACCAAACGTGTGAGGGGTGTGCCGACTTGGGTGTGCGTGACGCATGCGGGCGCTGGAGCCTTCGGTGGAGCTCCCTGCGGGGCCACGAAACGTTTAAGGGGTGTGCCGAAATGGGTGTGCGTGACGCATGCGGGCGGTAGCACTTGCCTTCGGTGGAGCTCCCTATGGGGCAACGAAGCGTGTGAGGGGCGTGCTGAAACGGGTGATGACGATGATGCTGGATGAGGGAGGAAAATAAAGAGGAATGAAGGAAATAATGAATAACGGAAGGAAGGAAAGAACGCGGGGACCGTCTCTTCAAAACGAAGACCCAACATCACAGGATGGTTGGGGAGAAAACGGGTTCCTTACGACGGAGCTCCCATGCAGGATTCCTTCTTGAGAACTTCTTACCAAGGATTCCTTCCTAAGTAAGGAGGCGCGGATAAGGAATCCTTACTAAGGATTCCCTAGCCAAAATTCGTTCGTACGGATTTCTTAGTACGGTTTCCACGGATTCTTTATTACGGGTAATGCAGGAAAGGGCTCCTTAGCACAGGTTTCTTATTCAAGGGTTTCTTAACATGTTTTGGCTATCAAGAATTCCTTCGTATGTGTCCCCCTCATAGGGTTCCCGAAGGATTCTTTACTAAGGGTTTTTGTTGCTACATATTCCGCACTAAGGTTGCCGCATTAAGGACTTATTGTAAGGATCCCTTACGAAGGATTTCGAATACTGATTTCTTACTGTGATCTCTTTGGTACTGCTCCCTTAGTAAGGAGTCTTTACTAATGCGGCGGTCGTAGGGAACCTGGATGAAGGATCCCGCGTGATCTCGAAAGATCCCTGGGCTTCACAAGGAGCCGTAGGGACCCACCACGATTCCTTGGGATTCCTGTGGATTCTGGCTGGAGGGGTAAGGGGAGGAGGGGAGGAAAACCGTTGAACAAATAACAACAGAACAAACAACAAACCAGAACACATTAGCCTTGCGAAGGACCCAACGCTATGCAATTGTGAATACAGCCCGCATTCGGAGGAGCTCCCTCTGGGGCCACGAAGCGTGCGAGGGATGTGCCAACAGGTGTCTGGTGGGCGCATGCGAAAGCAGCCACTGGGGCTGTCGGTGAGAGGTGTGCCGAAATAGGTGCGGTGGGCGCATGCGAATGCAACCATTGGGGCCGTCGGCGGGGCTTCCTATGGTGCCGCGAAGCGTGTGATGGGTGTGCCGAAATGGGTGCGGTGGGCGCATGCGAACGCAACCACAAGCGCCTTCGGTAAAGCTGCATGTGGCGTCACGAAAAGCGTGAGGGGTGTGCCGGAATGGGCGTGCGTGACGCATGCGGGCGTTGGCACTGGGGCCTTCGGTGGAGCTCCCTGTGGGGCCACGAAACGTATGAGGGGTGTGCCGAAATGGGTGTGCGTGACGCATGCGGGCGGTGACGCTGGGGCCTTCGGTGGAGCTCCGTGTGGGGCCACGAAGCGTGTAAGGGGTGTGCCAGACTGGGTTTGCGTGACGCATGCGGGCGGTGGCACTGGGGCCTTTGGTGGAGCTCCCTGTGGAACCACGAAACGTGTGAGGGGTGTGCCGCAATGTGTGTGTGTGTGTGAGAGAGAGAGTGTGTGTGTGCGTGACGCATGCGGGCGGTGGCACTGAGGCCCTTCGGTGGAGCTCCCTATGGGGCCACGGAACGTGTGAGGGGTGCGCCGAAATATGTGTGCGTGACGCATGCGGGCGGTGGCACTGGGGCCTTCGGCGGAGCTCCTTGTGGGGCCACGAAACGTGTGAGGGGTGTGCTGGAATTGGTGTGCGTGACGCATGCGGGCGGTGGCACTGGAGCCTTCGGTGGAGTTCCCTATGGGGCCAAACGTGTGAGGGGTGAACTGAAATGGGTGTGCGTGACGCATGCGGGTGGTGGCGCGCGGACCTTCGGTGGAGCTCCCAATGGGGCCACGAAACGTGTGAGTGGTGTGCCGCGTTGGGTGTGCGTGACGCATGCGGGCGGTGGCGCTGGGGCCTTCAGTGGAGCTCCCTATGGGGCCACGAAGCGTGTGAGTGGTGTGCCGCGTTGGGTGTGCGTGACGCATGCGCGCGGTACAGGGAGGAGGGGAGGAGGAAGGAAGGAAGGAAGGAAGGAAGGAGGGAACACGGGGACCGTCTCTTCAAGACGGAGACCCAACACCAGAGGATGGTTGGGAGCAAGAAACCGTGGTTTCGAAAGAGTTTCTGGGGAGAGGGGAGGCGCGGATTTGTCCGAACTTGTTTCTTCCAGCGTTTTTTTCCAACGTTTTTCGGCGAAGTGCCTGAACACGACAAACCCGCCCACGTCTGTATCGTGCCTGGCGCCCCTCCCGCACCTCCTTCCTCCTCCTCCTCTTCCTCCTCCACTCCCTCCTTCTCCTCCTCCTCCTCGTCCTCCTCCTCCTCCTCGTCCTCGTCCTTGTCCTCCTCCTCCTCCTCTTCCCCCTCCTCTTTCTCCTCCTCTTCTTCCACCTCCTCCTCCTCCTCCGCCTCCACTCCCTCCTCCTCGTCCTCCTCCTCCTGCCCCGTTCT